AATTCGAGCCTTGGCGTCTGATGAACACAGAACTACACACGTACCGCAAGCTTGCATTTCTCGTTACCAAACAACATCGCTGAGTGGTTGACACCGAAGGACATACAAAGGGTTGCATTCTCTATGCGTTCCCTTTCCTTATTGTTCGCTCCGGCGTGTTCCGAAAGGGCTTGCGTAGGACTTGCGTGGACTGATGCAACTGTATATCATTGCTTTCTTATTGTTGCTGCTGCTTTGTCTCATGGAACGATTTTCATCCGACGTTTTGTAAATTACTTGCATTCTGCTGACGGTCGATGATCATCAGGTCAGACACTCAAACGAAAAAACAAGAAAGTCGAACCGGGAGGTTGCGAGCCCGAACCAGAAAACCTGCGATGTCGTTAATTGGGAGTATGGGATAACGGTCAGGAGGGGGGGTTTCATTCGGGCATACTTGCCCTACGGTATGCCTCACTTTTTGGTCTTTTGCTGTCAGAAGGAGTGATATGAATCACGACATGATTTCCAAATCGGGATGATTAATAAGGGTTAATACAAAAGGGGGGAGGTCGTGGCGAATTTCGTCATATGGCAAAGAGTTGAGATGAAAGGGATTGAGAAACGACAGTGGAAACAATTTTGGGGGCATGAATTGGCGGGATTTGGGGCATTGGGCATTAGTTGGCGGCAACACATTGAGCTTGTCTGCTTTTTGACTTTAGAAACACTACGGCGATTCAGGAGGGCAGGCCGAAACGGAATGCTGCGAAATCGGTGGTGGTGGTGGTGTAGATGGGGCTGACGAAAGAGAAACGACGCATTTTTGGATGGAGTCTAGAAGTGCCGGCAGACACCGAAAGACGAGCCGAGGGCGATTACTCACGGGCATCTTCACACGGGTCGTTTTCTATCACCTGAAGAGATAGGCAGGGCGTTTTGTTTAGCAGACTTTGCTTCAATGCGTGTCATTCCATCGTTGTTTTTTTCCATTCATTCAAACATTACACAATATGTACACAGAAGGAGGCTTCAAGTTGGCCAGAGTTCGCCCCACGGAACCTTTTTGTCCCAAGGTTAGAGGTTCGGACACCACACCTACTGGACGGTGACGGTAGTGTTCGCGCGGATGTCGTCGCTCGAGGAGCCGACGAGGATCTTGAAGTCGCCGGGCTCAACGACATACTGCATCTTGATGTTCCACAGTCCCCAGTTGGCAACGGGCAGGTCGATGTTGACGGTCTTGGTCTCGCCGGCCTTGATCAGGACCTTGGAGAATCCACGCAGCTCCTTGTTGGGGACAACGACGGTGCTGACGACGTCCTTGATGTAGACCTGGACGACCTCCTGGCCGTCGCGCGTAGAATTGTTGGTCACGTCGACGGAGACTGTGACAGTATCGGTCGCTGAGGGGGTCGAGGATGAGACGGTGACGTTGGAGTAGTCAAAGGTGCTGTATGACAGACCATAGCCGAACTGCAGTTGTTAGGAAAGGCACACAAGACAACGGGCCACTACTTCTTACCTCGTACAGGGGAAGGGGGGTTGACAGGACGTAGTTGCTGCCAAAGACCAAGGTGCCGTTGGGGTACTCCTTACCCGGGTTGGGCCAGGAGCGGGCAGAGTTGAGGTAGTCGTAGTAGACGGGAGTGGTGCCAACGTCGTACGGGAAAGCGACCGAGAGCTTTCCAGAGGGGTTGACGTTGCCGTAGAGGATGTCGGCCAGGGCATGTCCGCCCTCCTGGCCCTGGTAGAACATCTGGACCAGAGCACCGGCCTCGTCGGAGATCCAGGGCTCGGTGATGGGCTTGCCGGAGCTGAAGACGACAACGGTAGGCTTTCCGGTGTCGATGACGGCCTTGACGAGACGGCCCATGGCGCCGACGAGCTTGAAGTCGTGAACATCAATGTGCTCGCCGGTGGTGGCGTTCAGACCAGCCCACAACTCGTCCTGGTCACGAGACCAAGTTCCAACAACGACGACGGCAACGTCGGCGGCATTGGCGGCAGCGACGGCCTCCTCGAAGCCAGACTCGTCGTTGGACCAGCGCTCGGCACCCTTGGCATAGGTGACCTGGCCCTCGCTGGCGGCCTTGATGCCATCGAGGGGAGTAACGCCGTACTCCATGGCCGTGTGGATGACATAGTCTCCATACTATTTGTTGGTCAGCTCTTGCTCATGTAGCTTTTTCTTGTTGGTCTTACGTTGACGTATCCGTGGGCCATAGGTCCAATAACAGCAACATGTGCGTCCTTCTTCAGGGGCAGAGTGTTGTTGTGGTTCTCAAGCAGAACAATACTTTCGGCGTCGAGGTCGCGGGCAACCTTCTTATGGGCGTCGATACCAAGGTAGTTCAAGATCTCATCATCAGGCACACCAGTGTATGGGGTCTCAAAGATGCCAGCTTTGAACTTCGCACGGAGAACACGGGAGACGGCAGTGTCGACAACGTTCTCGGGCAGAGTACCGTTGGCGACAAGCTCGGGGATGTACTGGAAGCTGTAGCGGCCACCGCCCATCTCAACATCGTTGCCGGCAGGGAGAGCCTGTTATAGTTAGAGACTTGCAGCGAAGCAGCTTTGCAGGGAAACATACGTTCATGGTAATGCACGCGTCGTCGGTCTCTTCGCAGACAGCAAAGGCGTTGCCCAGACGAGCAGTGCCACCAGCGTCAGACTTTACTCGTCAGTCAAAGCCAATACCGAAAACTACGGCCAACTTACAATGACATAGTACTCGTAGCCCCACTCTTCGCGGAGGATCTCGGTCAGGAGGTGGTGGTCGGCAATGGTAGGCACTCCGTCGTAAGAGTTGTAGGAGGACATAATACTCCAGGCGTCGGCCTCGAGGATGGCGCGCTTGAAGGATGGGAGGTAGGTAGTGCGGAGCTCTCTGGGACCGCCGTGGACCGGAGCCGTGTTGACACCCTGCTCAGGAGAGGCAAAAGCAGCAAAATGCTTTACCTGTGCAGTATTAGCACAAATCGACTTCATTGGCTCGCAAAATTACCATGGCACAGACGCCCTCTTGTTGGAGCCCTTTGGTGTAGTGATACCCGTACTCGCCAACGCTGCTTTTTGTCAGTTCGAGTCAGCTTCACGGATTCTTGCGCTCATACAGGAAGGGATCCTCGCCGTAGGTCTCCTCGACTCGGCCGAATCTCAGCTCGCGGGCCAAGTCGACGACAGGGGCGAAGATCTGGTTGACTCCGAGAGCCTTGGACTCAACGGCAATGACCTTGGCCATCTCCTCGACCAAAAGAGGGTTCCACGAGCAGCCCATAGCAATTGGCGAGTTGAAGATGGTGGCATTGAGGGCCAGGAAGCCATGAATACCCTCGCTCTGGATGAAGGCCGGAATACCTGCGCATTCTTAGCACCAATCGACCCAATTGACTCGCAACAAACTCACCCAGAGTCGTGTTGTGGACAAGATAGTCTTGGCCAATCTTTGCTCCCTGGGAGATGGTCTCTGGGGTCGCGTAGAGACCGGTCCAGATGGAGTTGGCCCTGTGCTCAGCAGCCCAAGCCAGGCCGGTCTGGTTGAGGCGGCCATCGGTCAGGTTGAGGTAGTCACGAATATCTGCCTGCAGCAATTGGGACGTCTTCTCCTCAATGGTCATGCGCTTGAGGAGATCCGAGACTCTGTCGTCAATGGAAGCTTTGGGGTCCTTGTAGATGGGCGTGCTGCTGTTGGATGTGCTGTTCTGGGCGCTGGCGAGCGCAACCAGCGAGGCGAGGGCCAGAGAGAGCTTCATGATTCCTGCTCCGGTGTCCGGTCAATGGAACTCAGGGTGACGTTCGGCTAGGGCTCCAGAGATCAGTGGACGCGACTCAGGATGACGCGCGCCGTTGGAGGGTATTAATACGCTCGCAATTGCTGGTCTGCACTCCGGCGAGTCGGCAAAGGCGAGCGACATGATGCCACGGCCAAGGAACCTGAGCAAATAGACGTAATTGCTTTGGGGCAAACAGCCGATGGGGAGAGTGCCTTCTCCGCATCGATCACAAATCCCTAGTCCACCCCGAAAAGCAATATCTGGAGCGATGTAATGCTAATTTGCTCGGAGCAGCGGTCTTCTCTGTTGTCCATTGGGTGGAAGTACACGACCCCTGACCGTTCCTGCACACGGCTTCTTGGGGACAGTGGCGGTGTTGGAGACGAAAAGACGGTGACCTCACGAGGACCAGGAGCTGAAGGACAGCAGACTAGGAGCCGAAGCAGGCCATTTTTTCTTCCATTTTTGCCCGTGAAGCTGGCGATGTACGGCGTGTAGCATGAGGGGAAGCTGAGTTGGGGTTGAAGTTGGAGAAGCTGCGGGTGGCCCTAGATCTGCAGGCGCACGACTAGGGGTTTTTGCTTGGGGTGGGCGAATAGCCGGTGCTTGGCGGGTGGACCCTTGCCGGCTGGTTTCCACCAATCCCGGTGCTTGCGGCCCCTACTCATCCGGAGCCCGAGAACCGCCCAAACCCGACCACTGCGGGGGGAGCAAAAGCTCGCTGGGGCACGCTGGGCCGCCTGAAGACCTCGCTGAAAGAAGGAACGCTAAACGGCGCCGGGACGGCAGGGACCCCACAGTGAAGAGATCCAATGGCCCAGATCTCCGCAGTCGCGGCAGAGTGGCCTGCTGATGCCTCTTTGCTCTCCCGCTCTCACACTCACCAACAAACTCCAACCCACTCACGCAATCCTGCGCTGTCGGGCCGCACGCCGCAGCCAATCGGTCCCTCATAATGGCTAAACTGAATCAGTGGCCTCGCGGCCGAGGCTCGCTGCATTGCGGATACCGGCGGGATTGAGAGCACTGGATTCGCTGGCGATAGTCCCGACAGCGGGACGCCGCCGTGCAACTCGAGCCTACTCCGCCTGATTCTTCTGCCCTCGCCCCAAGGCCGTCGTACAAGAGACGAGATTCACTCGGTCCTCATCAGCCTGGCCGAGCTGCCTCTTGATCTTCTAAACCTTTTGGTAGCTGCCAGTTTGCCCGTCGAGATACCTCCTTTTTGAAAAACACTTCGCCATGGTCCGCCTCCGCGATGGAATGTGGCTGCCCGCCGAGGGCACCACGACGGAGTATGCGGAGGAGGTCTACTACACCACCGAGATTGAAGGCGGAAAGGGCCTCAGTCTGCTGTGTCCGACGAGGAAAATCAAGTCCCGAGGTCATACGTTGAATGCGAGCACCGTCACTATTGTAAGTCGAAGCAACGGCCCATTCCTGGAAGCCATGTCACTCATACCCAGACAGGATGTCAAAGCCGAGTTTGACGGCGTCATCTCAGTCGAAGCAACTCACTGGGCCGGCGCCCTCAACAAGGGCCCTCATTTCGAGCTTTTCCCTGATGGAAGACCCGAAGTTGAGGCACAGATCCAAAAGGGCGACAAGGGCACGACTTTATCCTCGGGTTCGCTGTCCGCCACCATCCACCCCGATTTTGACATCCAGTTCCACAGTACCGACGGCTCCAAGCGGCTGACGTCCCTTGGGAGCCGAAGCGTAGGCCTGGCATACAACCCTGCGCCAAGCACACCAATGCAGACCGGGGACATGCGCAACTTCAAGCACTACATGTTTACCCAGACCACTCTCGGCGTCGGTGAGACAATCCACGGCCTCGGTGAGCGATTCGGCGCCTACAACAAGGTTGGCCAGTCTATTTCTCTTTGGAATGCCGATGGCGGCACTTCCAGCGAGCAGGCTTACAAGAACGTCTCGTTCTGGCTTAGCTCCAAGGGTTACGGCGTCTTCATCGATACGCCCGGCAAGGTGGACCTTGAGATCGGAAGCGAGCGCTGCAACCGCCTGCAGACCGTGGTCGAGGGCCAGAGGCTCAAGTGGTATATCATTTACGGACCCACGCCCAAGGACATCCTCAAGCGGTATACGACTCTGACGGGCAAAGCCGGCAAGGTCCCGAGCTGGAGTTTTGGCCTGTGGCTTACAACGAGCTTCACCACCAACTACGATGAGCAGACGGTCAACACCTTCCTCGAGGGTATGAAGGCCCGCGGCTCGCCCGTGGACGTCTTCCACTACGACTGCTTCTGGATGAAGGCCTTTACGTGGACAGACTTTGTGTTTGATTCCGAGCGGTTCCCCGATCCCAAGGGGCAGATTACACGTCTCAAGGAATCCGGCCTCTGCAAGAAAGTCTGCGTCTGGATCAACCCCTACATCGCCCAGCACGGCGCGGCTTTCAAGGAGGCAGCAGAAAAGGGCTACCTCGTGAAACGCAAGAACGGCGACGTCTGGCAATGGGACCTGTGGCAGGCCGGCATGGGCCTGGTAGACTTCACGAACCCCGAGGCCTGCAAGTGGTACGAGGAGAACCTTAACAAACTCTTTGACCAAGGCGTCGACGCCATCAAGACAGACTTTGGAGAGCGCATCCCCACGCTGGACGTCGAATGGTACGACAAGACCATCGACCCCGTCAAGATGCACAATTACTACGCCTTCATCTACAACAAGGTCGTGTACGAGGCGCTGCAGCAGCGCTACGGTGAAAACGAGGCCGTCCTCTTCGCCAGGGCAGCGTGCGCCGGCACCCAGCGTTTCCCCCTGCAATGGGGCGGTGACTGCGAGTCGACCCCGGAAGCGATGGCCGAGTCCATCCGCGGCGGTCTGGGCCTGGGCCTCAGCGGGTTCTCCTTCTGGAGCTGCGACATTGGCGGCTTCGAGGGCTACCCGCCCCCCTGGATCTACAAGCGATGGGTGGCCATGGGTCTGCTCTGCAGCCACAGCCGGTTGCACGGCAGCAGCTCGTACCGCGTGCCGTGGGTCATTGACGACGACGACCAGAGCGAAGAGGGCTGCTCGCAGACGCTGGCCAAGTGGACCGCCCTCAAGTCGCGCCTCATGCCCTACATCTTCTCGCAGGCGCAGGCGGCCGTCGAGCAGGGCATCCCCCTGTCCCTGCGCGCCATGTGCATCGAGTTCCCCGACGACCCAACCTCGTGGTACCTCGACAGACAGTTCATGCTCGGCCCCAGCATCCTGGCGGCGCCCATCTTTGAGGAGTCGGGCGAGGTGGAGTTCTACCTGCCCAAGGGCAAGTGGACCTCCTACTTCTCCGGCGAGTCCCGCGACGGACCCGGTTGGTTCAAGGAGACACACGGCTTCGGCACGCTCCCGCTCTACGTCCGCGAGAACACTGTTCTCGTGCTGGGTAGCTCCAACGCCGTCGGTGCTGTGTACGACTACCGCCGGGACGTCGAGGTCAGGTTGTATCAGGTCAAGGAGGGTGCCAAGGCGGCCGTGGTCGACAGCGAGGGCAAGGAGCTTGGTGTTTTGGAAGTGGGAGCGGACGGCAAGTTGAAGGACATGACGCTTCTCAACGGGAAGATCACCATTACCGAGCTGTAAAGCGGAATGGTAATCATTTATGAAATTACGATGCTATCTGCATGAGATATCTAGGGTTAGATGGCATAGAACAGGTTCAACTTCGGGATTCCTTTCAGATGTGTCATGAGATGCCGTACTAGCTCGCCGTCACAGGTCTGCCGGCCCGTTGCAGCGGTGAGCCAACCGGGGTTTGTCGGATACCGGCTGTGTCCATCCATCAACCGTCCCCGCGCCAAGTGGCTTGACATCACCTCATCTCCGGTCAATGTCCCCTCTCATCTACGCTCGTTGTTGCCGTGGTCTGATGTAAACGAACCTCGCTTCTCCGAATCTGTTCCCCAAGCCCCTCTCGTCGCTAAGAAAGAACCCTAGTCGGCCAGAGTTTCCCCGCGAACCACGACGATCGATCCCCACCTTTTAGCCCTTTGCCGTTCTCCTCCCCGCCCCGCATCCAGGCCCCCCGACCCCAGATCCCAGCCAAGGCCACTCAGAGCTCTCCAAGACCGCCGCTACGCATTTGCGGTGCTTGCATTGCTAGTCCTGGCTTTTGTGTAATTCGTGCCACGGCACCCTGGATAAGTTTTGCTGTTTGGCGCGGCTGGAAGTTGGCTTGCGTAGATGACGATGAACACCCCAAAATTCGGTCTCGGGCGGCCTTCTCCAAGTCGCGGGAGATGGCAAGGGTTCCCCAGGTACGCTTTAGGTGTGGGGTAGGAAGCTCAGGCGTGTTCGGACGAAATGTCCCCAGCTGGTCTTCTCAGGCAAGTAACCTCAAAGCATATCAAAATATCTCTCAGTAATCAAAGAAGAAGTTGATTTGGGGCTGAAGCTTATTCGGTTCGAATCACTCGCTCTATCTTTAAATTAAGGGGCAAAAAGGAAGTGTGGCATGATGAGGTATTATCTGAACTCGGATCTACCACGTTCGGGCACCCAGATCGGCATTTTGAAAACTTCCGAAAGCGAGTTCCACCTGTGAGGTATCGGACCATCCGACAACGCAACTAGCTGGTCCTGACCCGAGGATGTGAGAACCTGGCAGAACCAGTGGATGACACATGTCGTCCAGTACGCTGGATCACCATGCGGGCACCGCTTCCTTGCAGCTTCACCCGAGCCATGTCAATCGAGCCTCTGGAAGCCTTCGAACGGGTCTGATGCCCGGATATCGGAGTGCAACTCTGCAGTACGACTTCAAGGGTCGTGTTTGTCCGTTCGCTTCTGTATGGAATGAGGGGAGTATCCGAGGTACAATGTACAGCAAGGCAGCAAGGAAAAGGAGACTAAGTCACCCGAATCGCAACGGCCAAAAAGGTAAGCACATAGATACTACTCAGGATACTGAGACAGATACGGAGTGATTATAGAAGAAACAAATCCGATAACCAAGGTCTGAGAAACATTATTGGACCCCGTAAACGCCTCTATGTTGGAGATATCTCCCAGCTAGATCTTCATATATAACGTAGGTATCCTGATATGAGCAACTTGTCCAAAATCCGATGAGGCAACGTCACCAAAGGGTATACCGCATCATCCTGAGCCTCCCATGACATTTCGCGCAAGAGGCTAGTTCAAATCAGTCCACTGCGTGTATATGTTAGCCAGTCCCATGGAATCTCGTATAGGGCAAACCCACATTATCTGGCGCATTCGTGACCTCCTCGTATGCTTGCATGATCTCAAATCCCATTGCCATGACGTGTTCGTAAGAGTCATCTTGCACCTGTATGTCGTTAGCATATGTGAACCAGTCATTCGAGGGTTTACACACCCAGCTGAGCACCGTTTTGGCAGACTTGTGTGCTTTGTTCTGCCGCACACCCATCAGAGCCAGCCCCTGGAGCACGAGAGTGTCCTGCAACCCCGACTTAACGACGGGTGCCAGGATACCTCCTATTTCCTCATCACCAATCGGCACAAGGGCCGGGATGAAGTTCGACAGCGGACTGCCTGGTCTGCAGATGATGATGGTACCCAGGATCGCATCTCCAGGACCCTTGGCCCTCACGATACCGCACGCCTTGGTCTCCTGCAACGCACACCTGTACAGCTCCAAGACCTCGGGGTTTGCGTGGGTGTTGACGAGGTCCAGCACCAAGTCGGCATTGTCAAGACCGTGGATGAGATCAAAGCTCAGGTTGGCCCGCTGGACACTCTGGAGTAGGCCCTCGGGGATGATCCAGTTGCTCAGATCGTTGATGATCAAATTGGTCAGCCGCTTCGGGAATTGCACATCCCAGCCGTTGTTGGCGAACCAGTTCTTCACTCCGCCCTCGTCAATCGGTATGCCCAGGAAGATGCCGGGGAACGTCGTGCCCAGCTGCAGCTTCTTGACACCCCGCTTGCCGGTCAGGTACCGCAGAGCTCGTCGATGAAGGGAGCGTCCGACCGAGACGTTCCGCTTCGTCGGGTCCACGAAGATGGCACCGAGAATGCCGATACCTTCGAGGAAATAGGTCGCTGCAAAGCCATACAGGGCATGCGTGCTGCTGTTTCTGACCACGAAATGCGCCTCCTCGACGTCCTTGTTGAACAGTTCGAAGCATCCAGCTGGCATGTTCTCCAGGTGGCCCAAGTCGATGGTGTTTGCGCGAGCGACTGCTTTGATGAGCTCTTCAAGTCCCTGAGTGTCTCGCTCGCGGTCGAATTCTTCAACGATCCAGTGCTGCCGGGATTTGAGGACCTTCTTGCTCTTCCGCAGTGTCCCCGGAAGCGTCCCCTTGGGCACGAACACGCCGCACAGAGCGCGGACCAGTGCATGCATGGCGTTTTCTGTAAAGTCGAACGTGCAAATGTAAGTGCCGATAGACTTGTCCATGGCGAAGTCGTATGGTGAGCTGACGGCCACGACAATGACCGACTTCTTCTGGCCGCGCGTGCGCAGCATGGAACACATCATCTCGACGTGCTTAGTGAAGCCGGCTTGATACAGATTTCTGTTGGCATCGGCAGTCACGATGATGATACAAGAGGCTCTATGGATGAGGTTCTCGTGAACTACTCTCGTTAGCTAGGCAGGCAGTCTCGGGTAAGTCGACTTACCTGGCCGGACTCCGTTCGCAGTATAGCTGGTATGGAGGAGCTTGCCATGTCGAGCTCTCGCCAGAGAACGCCCAAACTCTCGAAAGACGCCTTCTCCACTCATAATGGCGCCCTTTTCCCTGTGTAACCACTTATCGTGAGCCGTGGGCGCAAGCATCTGAGCGTCTTTTGCCTGGAGGATGCTCTTTGTCAAGCTCGACGCCGGCAATGGCTTTACAAGTGGTGTGAGGAGCAACAGCTCTTCCTCTTGATGCATGGACTGCGACAGAGGCAAGAGCTTCTCCTTATCTCGGATGACCGTTATGGAGTCGTCGTACGCCTTCCTCGAGAGCGCCATGTGACTCGGGTGCAGCTTGGACAGAAGCGAGATGCCAGGGGGGTTGAGAGCGGTTTGCCACGATGTGCAGGTGTCCTTCAACCGCAGCACCCGCTGTAGAGAAGTGAAGATCCGGTCTTTGGCAAAGATGCCGTTTTCCACTCCGAGTTTCAACCCCTTGATGGCTTCCAGCTGGACATCATAGGCTCGGCACAGTAGCACAAGGTCACAGCCAGCCTCGACAGCCATGACAACTCCGTTCTGGACGCCGAGGTCGTGTGCGAGGGACTCCATTTCGAGGCACTCAGAGATGGCGACTCCATCGAACCCCAGCTCTTCCCGTAGGAGATCATCCACAACCTGGTTTGATAGGCAAGCATGCGATACGTTCATGGACGGGTTTGAGATGCCACATCCCCCGACGAACATGGCATCGAGCTTACCGGTCGCGATTGCATTGCGGAATGGTACCAGAGCACTCAGGCTCAATTCTTCGAGGGTCTGAGTGATGATGGGAACCTCCAGGCTCGAACCCAGGAAGTCCAGATTGCCGTACGAAGGAAAGTGTTTTCCGCACGAAGCTAGTCCGGCATCCCGGATACCGTTGATGGCAGCAATGCCATACTGAGAGACTTCTTGAGGGTCGTCTCCCGTGGCGCGGACACCGATTGGCTGGTACCTGGCGTTCGACAAGACGTCTAGAACAGGGCCGAGCATAAGGTTGATGCCACATGCTCCAACTTCAGTCGCAGTAGCCTTTGACACTTCATAGGCTAGGTCGACGCGCCCCGTGGCAGCCACGCCCATGGCGCTCGGGAACTGGCACACATAGTCCTCATCAAACAGGCTGTTTACGCCCCCGTTCTCCTGGTCCAAGGCGATTAGTAGAGGCTTCGGGTGGCCGGCTTTGTGAGCAATGGTCTGAAGCTCCTGGACCAGCTTGGCTGTCTCTTGGGCCGCTGAAAGGAATCAGCATGGATCTACGTACAGCCTCCAGTAAGTAGAAGCTGGGGGACATGAAGGTGTGCTAACTCTTGAGGTTCTTGGCCGTCAGAATGATGGTCCCGAGATGGTGGTCCTCAATCAAGGAGCGGATCTGGGGCGTGACCTCGGTGCCATCCCAGCCCATGATGAGCATCTGGCCAATGGCCCTGAACGGTGTGAGAGGACATGTCAGCGAGCGAATCGGGATAGGGTCAAGGTGACAGGCTTCTAGAAGGTCCAACGGAGACCAGGCGACAGGGTAGATGACATGGGGAGACGGGACCGGATGGCAGGGCGGAGGACGGAGGTTTCAGGCGGAACCTTCAGGTTGGAGAGAAGAAGCACACAAGAGCAGGCGGGTCGAGGAAGACGAGACGTACCAATCGAGATCCTGCCATAGTGGGTCGAGCTCCATGTTGAGCTGGGCCGTGGAGAGCGGTCTGCGACTCGTCACGTTTTGACGTGCATAGTACCTCTCGAGACTGCGAGGTGCCTTCAATGGGGAGAGGTAACGGCGACCCTTCTCCGACGTTGACGTTGAGTCCCTGCTGATGGATGGTCGCGAGTGCGGGTGCTGGTGGTGTCTGGAGCTGTAACTGGAGCTGGAGCTGGAGCCGGAGCCATCGCGCGTCGTCCGAGAGAGCGCGGACGTGGAGGAGTGGTGGTGCACCTGCGTGTGGGACGCCATGTGCGCCGCGCGGGAGGGGTGGTCCGGGCTTGCGCTGCCAGACACACGGCCCGATGCTGATTGGCTGCCGGAGGGCGGGGATATCGATTGGCCGATTCGTGCACGGGCCAGTGGTCGCGGCGGATGATGTGGGGCGGGTACGTACTGAGTGATTCGAGATCCATTTCTGTGTGTTAGCGTCTCGATCTTCGGCCTCGACAACGGAACGTTACATGGAGCCTCACCACGTCAAACCTTCTTTTCCCCGTCTGCTCCGAAAGTCTGTGTGTCTGTGTCTGCGACGGTGACAGTCTGCCTCTGCCCGTCTCGTCCTGGGTCCCACGCCTCAGTCCCCCTCCGTCAGTGTGGGGCCCTACTCCGATTCTGGAATCTTGGGAGGCAAAGCAGTGGTGTGCGCCGGTGCTTGGGTGCTTGCGAGTGAAACAAAGCAACAGAAACGAGTCCTTTGCCCATGTGAACCGGCCGTTGGTCAAGTAGTCTCTGACTCGGAGGGGTTCCAGAGGCACCTCGCGGTGCAACGGGCGACTATCGTGCCCAGTCCAGTGTCTCCAACGCTCCATCCCCCACCGACGGCACGTTGATGCGATTGCCCGTCGATACACTCGTCCTATCTCATACCACCATGTGTGGTGGCCAACTCTCTGTGACTGTGAGGGGCCATGACGAGGTTGCCAACGCCCTGGAACCCACGAGACTTCCATGCAAGCCGGGCCATGCCGGCACCGTTGCCTTTCGCCGCTCCGGTTGCAGAAGCGCCCTGCAGTGCCCGTGAATAATAGCCGGATCTTGCCCAGCGCTGCCTTTTATGTCGGGTCTTGTTCATGGCGTCGATATTGAAGATTAAGCCTGCAGCCAGCTCTCCCACTGCTCAACAACAAATCAGCGCACACCATCCAGTCTGACACCATGCCCATCGCCATTCCCAAGACGCCCAAGAATGGCATTACGAAATTCACAAACTGCCGCCTCGTGAAAGGCGACGCCCTGGTGCAGGAGGACATCTGGGTCAGCTCCGTCACGGGCAAAATCATCCACAGCCAGGCGGCCTTCTTCGATGACCTCCTTCTGCCAGATGAGACCGTCAACCTCGGCGGTCGCATCGTGTCTCCCGGCATGATCGACTGCCAGCTCAACGGTGCCTTTGGCTTCAACTTTTCCACGCTCCTCGAAGACATGTCTCAGTACGGCAAAAAGGTCAGGGAGCTCAACAGGAAACTGGTGGCCACTGGCGTCACTTCCTACGTCCCAACGCTCACCAGCCAACGACCCGAGCTTTACCAAAATGCAAGTTCCTTTTTCTGTGTTGTAGATTTCTAGAATACTGACCGATGACAGGCTCTCCCGTACTTGGGGCCCTCTGGCGGCTCACAAGTGGCCAATGACGGTGCCGAGTCTCTCGGAGCCCACGTCGAAGGCCCGTTCCTGAACCCTACCAAGAACGGCATCCACAACGTCGATGTCCTGCAGCAGGCAGAGACATTCGATGATCTAGTCGAATGCTACGGCGCCGAGAACATCGAGCCTAGCGCCAACGGTGGCTCCATTCCAATCAAGATGATCACCGCCGCGCCAGAACGTGGGCGGATGACACAAATCATTCCTGAGCTGCGGGAACGAGGTATCATCTACTCCATCGGCCACTCGGAAGCGACGTACGAAGAGGCTTCGGCCGCGGTGGCAGCCGGAGCCACGATGATTACTCATCTTTTCAACGCCATGCGACCTCTTCACCACCGCAACCCCGGTGTCTTTGGTGTCCTGGGTATTGCAGAGAGTCTGGCGAGGCCATACTTTGGCATCATCTCCGACGGTATCCATCTGCACCCGACCACCATTAAGATTGCATTCAACGCTCATCCGGATGGCTTCATTCTGGTTACTGACGCCATGCACATGATGGGTCTGGCGGACGGCTCGTATAAGTGGACGAATGGACAAGACGTCAACAACATTGTCAAGGTCGGATCCACGCTGTTGCTGGAGGGCACCGACAAAATTGCTGGAAGGTGAGTTGTTGCATTTGACTACGAAACTGTGCACCACTAACGATCGTCAGTGCCGTCACTCTGATGGAGTGTGTCAACAACTTCCTGCGCTGGTCCGGCACCGGCGTTCCGAAGGCTTTGAAGGCTGTGACCGCGACCCCCGCAGAGATGCTCGGCCTCAAAGGCATCAAGGGCTCTTTGGAAGACGGAGCTGATGCGGATCTGGTCATCTTTTCTGAAGAAGTAAGAGATGGCGCCACTCAGCTCGTAGTGGACGAGGTTTGGAAGGCGGGAACGATGGTATCGAGCCGGGAGGAGACCCAGTCGCCTATTGCATAGACTGTCCGAGTTACGATAGTGGGTGTTGATAAGACAAGATTAAAGGAAAGGGTCAAGCCCTATAAACTGTAAATTCATAGAGCTGCTATCCAAATATGCAGGAGCATAAGCAGGCAGCATTAGGTTTATGATATAAACGAGATTCAAAGATGATGGCCATGATGTAAGTGTCCTCTCAACCTGGCGACTTTGGCATCATCAGACCATTACGTCGTTCCTATGATCACATAAGTCCCTAATCACTTTACGAATTGACTATTGCGGAACAGTACCTAGGTATCTCTCATTCGCAGCGCAAAGTAAGGACCGGCTTATGTGAGACGGAGACTGCTATTCCACTCGCTGCACTGCGTACATAGTGACTGCTACGTGTTCATGACCAAAGTCCTTCCTGTTGGCCGGCACCTTGGGTATATAAAGAACATTGCGCATTTAATCCACTCGATAGCAAAGGCTACTTTTCAAAGTTCTTGCAGACCGTCTTAGTCGTGGAAACCAGTCCCTGTCCGTCATGGCTACCTCCGACGCGCCCCTTACTGCCCTTTACGAGGCCATCGAAAAGACTCTACGCGAGTTTCTCAACGGTTACGAGGACGCCTCGAAGGAAAACGACGCGTCACGGATCAATACAACCTTGACACCGGATTGCAAACGCCACTTCATGCCCCCCTCATTCCTCCAGGCCATGGGCGTGCCGACTGATCTTGCTATTGGGAATGAGATGTACGAAGCCAGGTTGGCCACCACCCTCCCGGTCTACAGCACGAAGAGGACGGAGATCAGCAATGTTGTCATCGATGTGCGAAAGAAGACAGCTGCCGCTACAACAATCCTCGACAGCGAGTTCATCGACGGGGAGTCTACAAAGCTGTATTTTGCATGGTTTATGCAGTTCACCGAGGACGGGTCACAAATAAAGGATGTTTGGGAGTACGCCGACAGCGTGGTACAACCCGGAATCTCAGCCAAGTGTCAGAAGCTCTTTGAAGAGCAGAAGGCCAAGGATTGAGTGAACTATGGCATTGCCAGATATGAGTTTATATCGTTATTGCAAGCCATCATTGGTTTATATCCGGTTCCAGTGAGGACATTTAGTACCTGTGGTGAGCTCATGTTGTAAGCCCAGATGCGTGGGAAGACATCTCGATGCGTGAGGCGATGTTTGCTCCAACCTGGAAGCCGACAAGCTCAGACAGGGACAATTACAGGGAGCTTCATTGTACTCAGTGGAGCTCATCTCCCCCGCCCAGGTGCCTCATTCCATACAGGTTCACTGGGGGTGCTCCCAGTCGCGGTTGAAAGGCCCCCCAGAGCAAACCCCATTAAGCGCCCCTCACTTGCCTCCACAGTGCGATAACGCCTGCAGCCGTCGACTTGCAGGCCAGCCAATGGCAGCAGACCAGCGGCCTGATAGGGGTTGGTGCGGCGTCTCTCCAGTCCAGGTCACCCACCACCTAACCTCCACGTCCACTCGGCTGCCCGTGGGTTGGCTCCAGACACAAGAGATCCCTCCGCTTCTGCATTTCCATCCAGAGTCGCTCGGACAAGACATTCGCTACATACCTCGACGCCCACTCGCCAGCTTGCTTGCTTTTTGCAACAGGGTCTTTTTTGTTTCCCGTTTGTGTCTGTCCTTCATTTTTTCGACAACTCGCTGCCAGGCTTCGTCGTTTACTCGCCCTCTGGGCCGCCCAGCCACCTCTGATCGTCCATCGTGACGACGAGCGCAATTCGTCTGCCGGCGGCTGGCGCAGTCCTACCATGCAATGGCCGCGTTCCATTCATTGTCGTCCGGCGCGACGCCCGGAGATGGCATGAGCCTCAACAGCGCTGTCGTGGATGGCCTGGATTCCTCCATGTTTGACGATTCTCTGCTGTAAGCTTTCCGGGGCGGGAAACTTTCTGGAGGCGCCTGTCGCAGTTGGGATGGGAAGAAGTCAGACGACTAACAGTTTGCTGTCGCAGGGATACGGTCAACGGCGCCTTTCCCCCCATACCCTTCACTCCCACCTACGGATTCGAAGACTTCTCCGCCACGGGCTTCGAAGACCCCTTCGCATATTCGAACCGACCCTTCGAGGCGCAGCCTGCCCCCGAGTTCAACCAGGACTCCCCTACCCAGGAGCTCGACAACAAGCTACTCGGCTTCTCGGCGCCCTCGTTCAAGGCGACGGTCGTTGACGGGAATGGACAACACATGGAACCTGGAATGACAGCCGAGCTGTACGGCATGTTCTTCGTCGCGGAGGACGTCTTTGGCGCCGAGAACAACGGCCGCCCGCTCGAGCTTACCTGCTACCGTCGCAACCTGTGGCAGTGCTCTGGACAAGTCACGCTTCCGCGTCACATTACGCATGCCGTAGACGAGCAGGGCCGGCAGATACCCGTTTTCGAGCTTGCCGCCTCCATCACGGCGATCGAGTCCATAGAGGGGAAGATGACGGAAATCATATCGATACCCTGGAAGAGCGCGCATCCCATCGGCGCCGAGGAGCCAAAGTCGTCTGGTGGCCCACCTAACATTGTTCTGGATCTAGCCAACGGCCAGGAAGTTGACGCGAATAGAGTGTCGCTGCCGCTGTCATGGAAGAGGCTGCAGTTCAAGCATGCGACGGCAAACAACGGCAGGAGGAAAGGTCTTCAGCAGCATTACCTGGTGCAGATCAGCCTCCTGGGGAAGCAGCAGTCGGGGGAGTACATCAAGATTGCTGAAATCAGCTCTGGCCCAGTGATTGTGCGAGGCCGTAGCCCGAGAAACTTTGACAGTCGCAAAGACATCCCTCTGACGGGCGAGAAGAAGCTTGAAAGGAGGAGCAACAGCGATGCGTCTGCCTCTGCTCCGCCTCACAAGGACAATGGCATGGCAACCCCGGTTCCAAAATACCAACCACCCAACAACCTTCAGGTACGCAGAGCTGCTTCGACTTACGGATTCAAGATGCTAACGGCTCACAGCAACCTCCAGAATGGAGCACGCCTCAACTGTACAGAGAAACGAGCAACAGTCAGCCTCCCGCAAAGAAACTGGCGCTGTCGCCGTCGCCGGGGATGTCTCGGCCACCGATCCCAGCGTGGTCTTCAGAGCCCGCGCGACAAGCGGCAAGGCCTTCAATGTCAAGCTCACGCCCTGGTATCTCGGGCCCCATTAACTTGTCGTTGTCGGAAGACGAGAGGAGCCCAAACAGGTCGAACTCGGATATTTCGAGCCCGCAGTTTACAAAGTCCATTGCGGCTGCCGTGCACAACACAAGTCAGAGTCCCAAAGAAGAGGACGATCTGCTCTACGAATACTTTCCACTCAGCGTGGACGACTGGTGAGTCTATCGTAAATCCGTCGCACACGGGAACTAAGAAACAACAGGATGCCGCCTGTGGAAGCCATCTACCGACCTCACGTCGTTCACCACACAATTGTGCCGCCCGAGATCAAGGCGCAACAATTACGCAGCAAGAGCAAACGCATGTTCACAGCCGAATCGTAATGATGATTTTAGACTGGATGTATCTGCCAGCCATCTTGGTATTCATACCCCTCGGCATGTATTCGCCTCATAGGGATCTATTTGAAATGATTTAACGAAGCCACCTCACGGATTTGAATGTATTATAAGCTAATCGGGGTTACCTGCTCGGCTATCGGGAGGCCGGGTCGTACAGGAAGGAGGGGCAAGACATACGGACAGCACGGAAAATAGGAAGGCGAGTCAGCGGTGGAACACGTGGTTATACCCGGATCTAGTGCCATTCAATGATCAGAAAGAATATACTCACCAACAGCCTGCGTTGGGCTGGGTGATTCAACTAACCGCTGCTATTGTGTGATGGTCTCGTTCCAACCAATCACATGACACGATGTTGGAGAACCAAACGTAGCAGCACAAACTCCAACTCAACCCCACAATCTATTCTCATTCATCTCATCTTTTCAAGGTATCGTACACGTCGAGCCCTGCTCTTCTCTCTTTAACAATGTCTATGCACCCTCTCCGAGTTTTATCCGTTCTTGCGATCCATGTCTCATGATTCCCTTTAATTTGGGCCTCTTCTACTATGCTACATTCTGTTTGGCCCATCAAATAATCACACGAGCAACCAATGCTCTTTGCGTCTAGCGAGTGACTGGGCGGCAGCGAGTTACGGCTCGGCTTACAATCAATGAAGCGCTTACTGCCATGCAACCGGGCACGCATTCTTCCTTCTTCTCTCTCAATCGGTGTCTCATCGGCGTTTAGGCGCCAACGGCGTTCACCCGCAGCTGCTGCTCCGGGTTAGGAGTCAACCGCCGCGCAAGCGCCGGCTCGGGGATGCGGGAGGCCATGCGGTCGGGTACCAGGTCGGGGGTGTTTGATCTTGAAATAGACAACTGCTGCTGCTCGGGGTTCGGCGTCAGCCGTCTTGCCAGGGCCGGCTCCGGGATGCGGTTGGCCATCCTGTCGGTGACGAGGTCGGGCGTCACGGCCCGGAGCTGTTGCTCTGAGGGGCTCTTTGTGCGGGACTCCATGCTCTCGAAGACGAGCTCGATGTCCGGGGACACCGAGCGAACGGGGTACTCCGTGGCGGGAGACGCCCTGAGAAGACGGGAGGTGGTGGGTTGAGGGTGGTGGATTGTCGGGGTCGAGACCTCGTCGACGACCGTCACGGGGATGGGGCCTGGGCCGGTGCGGATCTTGGACGGGAGGATCTGCTCGAAGCCCTCGGCCTTTGCGACCTTTTCGATGCTCTTGAAGTACTGAGGTTATTGTGTCAGCGGACAGTTCCTGAGACGCGTGCGAGGTCTGTCTTACCTTGACAGTCTTGACCTGCAACTCCAGCGTTGCGTCCTCGTCGACGACGAGCATCGGGTGGGGGTGCAGCTGCAGGCTGGAGAGGGTCCACATGTGGTTGACGCCGTTCTCGATGCACTTCTGGAGGGCGAGGGCCTTGCGCGCGCCGATGATGATGGCGACGACCTCGCGGGCCTCGAGGACGGTCTGGACGCCGACGGTCAGGGCGAGGCGGGGCACCTTGCTGACGTCGTTGTCGAAGAAGCGGGAGTTGGCGAGGATGGTGTCGTAGGCGAGCGTCTTGACCCTGGTGCGGGACGCGAGGCTGGAGCCGGGCTCGTTGAAGGCGATGTGGCCGTCCTCGCCGATGCCGGCGAGGAAGAGGTCGATGCCGCCGGCGGCCTTGATCTTGGCCTCGTAGGCGACGCACTCGGCCTCGAGGTTGGGCGCGTTGCCGTTGAGGATGTTGACGTTGTTGGGGTGGATGTTTACGTGGGAGAAGAGGTGCTTCCACATGAAGGAGTGGTAGCTCTCGGGGTGGTCCCTTGGGATCCCGACGTACTCGTCCTTGAATGGTGTCAGGTTGTTGATGGTGAGAGCATCGGGGACGTCACGGAGAGACATACCATGTTAAAGGTGATGACATTTTCAAACGAGATCTATCAACAACACCGTCAGCCTCCTTGCTTGCCTACCAAGCAAGAGCTAGACTTGGAGCATACCTCTCCGGCCTTGTACCTCTGAACAAGAATCTTATATACGCCCAAGGGGCTGCTTCCTGTGGGCAAGCCAAGTACGAATGGGTGTGCGGGGGTGGGACTGAAGTGCTTGATCCTATCGACGATGTAGTTGGCCACATAGGCGCTGGCAGCGTCGGCGTCGTCGCGGATAATCAGCCTCATCTTAAACGGGGTATCTACTGAAGGAGGATAGCGTAGGTTGCAACGATACGAGGATGGGTGTGAGTATAAGCGCAGGGGATGATAGAAGAGGGTAGGTTCTAGGCGAGGTCGATGTCTATTCTCGAGAAAGAGGACGGGTAACAGAGCGATGCGAGGGAGGCAAGCTGAAGAGACCCTCCTTATGAGGGACTAAACTCAGCTTCGACGGTGGCCAAAGGTTCGGGCGGTTTCCCCATACCCTTTCCCTCAAACCGTCCTCCCCCTTGAGGGGTTCCCCGTCGCAGCACAGCTGACATCACAGACTTTTTGCGGCAAGGGCAATCTGCCCCCAGAAAGTCTGCTGAAGATTTGCGCTGTGGTGGAGGGATGGAACGTCACTGCAACTTGCTATCGGTGGTGTTTGAAAGTCCCACCACCCGGGCGTCCGTCCCACTGTGACGGGCTCGCGGGGAGGGGCCATTATCAACGTTGCCAGTCGCAGGTATCGGCCGATTCACCTGGTTCCAGTGGTTGGATGTCAAGGCTCTGAACCGGAATCCGCGGACGGTTGAGAGTGGCCATCCATTGTGATAACTGGAGCTCTTGGATTTGGCAGGCAGTGAGCAACACACTTGTGGCACTCCCCCATTCTAGAGTCGGCCATCATCGTCATCCATCAGTTTAGACTCGCCATACCCCGACGGCCGCGGGCAGGGGTCGGCATGTCAGTGTGGCGGTGGTGGGTGTTGGACGAGCCAGGTGGTCGGGTCGATATCCCAGACGTGTGTGGAGGCTGTTCGATGTCAAGAAAGTTCGCGACGCTACCTACTGCATAGTAAGGTACGCACGGGTGGCGAGGCCGTCGTCGGCGCGCGGCGGGGGCCAGCACGTCCACGTCCGTGAGGCCAGACCCTGGTTTTACAACGATGGCAATGTATGTACGATCTGGCGGCGGCTGACCATTTTGCGCTTTGCATGCAACTGATACGTTAGACGTGGGGGACTAGCAACCGAGGCTACTGATGGCGATCCAACGTGACGGGCATAAAAGCCGTTCGCCGTTTGCCGCCCGCCGCGTGGGACTTGGGCCTGGCTCGGAGAAATACAAAAGGTGTCATGGTGGACGGCTCGTGTTAGCGGTTGTGTCCCGCTCTCTGTCGACGATTTCTAGCTCAACACGTTCAACGCGGGTGAGATGTAGTTCGAGGGCCGCCAAGAAACGTGTTGATGGATGATTCGGCATTGACGGTGTTGTGAGACAAGAAGCAGATTGATGAAGTTCCCCCTCATGTTGGACTGGGGACATGGCAATGCTGCATCGCCGCTGATCGCATCGACAGCTTTGTTGAAGATGCAGAGTCTCCGTCATCTGTCGCAGCAGGACCCCTGTTCAATGTTTCTTGCTGGTGGTGTTGGTCGTTGCATGTTCCTCTGGCGGCGGGTCTTAACAATTTCCACCGAGGGTCCCCGTCCGCACGCGCTAAGCAGCAGGTCTTACACCTGAGTGGTCGCTGAAGGAAGCCCCTCCATGAATCCGCTTTCGTCTGATTTGGTCAGCCACCACCTGACGGATACAGTGCCCCTCCAATGGAATTCGCTATCAGAGGCAACGTTACAGCTGGAGGGGCGACGCATCCTTTCCGCATTGCACCTCTCAACCACGCGCGGCGACAGCGACATCCTGCCAACCCAGCGGACGGGTTAAGCTGGTCTGGTCTGGCCTGGGCTGAGATGCCAATGGCTCGTCGTACTTTACGTGTGTGTCCATAGCTTACGGCAGTAACAATCAGTGGCCGGGCAGCGCACTTTGTGGCCGCGTTTCAGCACAGCGTACACTCGTCTTCCTCTCTCATTGTTGCTGTTCCATCCCTCCTCCGTCTTGCTCCCAACGTCCTGCGGTATAGAGCAGCCTCTGGTTCTTTTCACTGCCGGCTCGTAGCAGTTGATTGTTGCACCGAAATCTACTGTGCTTCTCCCGGCGACCCAGTCTTCCATGCATCCCCCCTAAACACCATCCCATACAACGCTCTCGCATCCACCTTCCTCCGCCGCATCCAACCCCGTCGACGAACGGCATACGGCCCCCAAAGCAGGTGGACTGGATTATCGCGTCTGGGCCGAACTAGGCCATACGAACATGCCCTAGGACTGCCGTCAGTCGCCCCATTGCCTGTGCGACGTTGGAGAGGAAACGCGAGAGGCCCTCCTTGGCTGGTGGTTCCCGCTCAGAGTCTCACTCTCACCGTGGACCTCCGCATGGTCTGGTGCCCCCGAGGCCCTTCTCTCCGTACCCTAGCGGCCATCTCTCACCTCCTGTAACCACATTGGCCGTTGGTCGCTTTCGCCATCGCCGCTCTCTTGTGCTTGTCCAGTCCACCGTCAACGCGCTCCAATACGACATCCAACCGGCCAGCTCGACGGACGAAGGCCAGCTCCCGGCAGGTTTCATCCTGCTCGGTGCGAGCTCCAGTCACCCTTGTTCCCCGGCCTGTTCCTGTCGATCCGCTCTCGACACCGTCTGGTGGCCGCCGTGGAGTGCTGTTTAAACCTCGTTTGCGACATCTCTGCGACCCTCCCTCTTCCTCCATTCCTCCGTCTCACTCTCGCTCCCGTCACCTCTCCGGGGACATGGCTCGTGCCTTGCTCCGTTTATTTACCTGCCATTGTCTCGTCAGCTAAATGATACGGCACCGTCCGACACAAAATCTCCTTCGTTCGAATCTTGGGTCCTTGTCATGCACCGAATCTCTCCTGCCATGACGTTCCCGAAATCATTCCTGGCCGCCGTCGTCAAGCAGCTGCTGCGGGGCAAGTCCCTGATACAAGCCATCCTCGCATTCTGGATCACCCCTCAGACCGTTTCCGGGAAGCAGTCCAGGACGCCGTCAACGGTCGAGTGTTCAAAGTCCGCCGCGTCTCTCTACCCGCGGAGGATCGACGAGTTCCTGAAGGAGGCCGAGGACCTGCTGCTGGGCCCTCTCGCCGGCGATGGCCTCCTGGAGCTGTCCAACGCCCTGAAGGCGCAGTTTCGGGACAAGTTGCGGACCAGCATGGCATGTATGTTGCCGTCGTACAACCACCAACTTCCCGCCGGGCACGAAGTCGGTCAGTATCTGGCGCTGGATGTGGGGGGATCGACCCTGCGTGTTGCACTGGTAGAATTGCGGGGCCGCGATGCCAAGGGTCGCGAGAGCGAGATCGTCCGCCTCAGTTCCTTCGTGATCGATGCCGACATCAGGAACCTGGAGGGCATGGCGTTCTTCGACTGGATGGCGGAAAGGATACTGGAAACCATTTGTAAAGACGGAGAGGACCCGTCACGGCCCATGCCCATGGCCGTGTCTTGGAGTTTCCCCATTGAGTAAGCACGACGCATCGGACGTATGATATCAAGCTGATCAGGTGCAGACAAACGTCGCTGAAAGGCGGCCGTATTCACGGGATGGGTAAAGGGTTCCTCGCCGCCGACGGACTCATGGGCCAGGATCTCGGCGAAGTCATCGAGACCGCGTGTAAAGCCAAGGGCATGAACGCCGCCCTCAAGGCGATTGTCAACGACGGCGGCGCCACCCTCCTCTCGCAAGCCTACATCCACTCCGCCACCCGCTTCGGCCTCATCCTCGGCACCGGAGTCAACATTGCCGCACATCTTCCCGTCTCCGTAATCGGAAAACCAAAATTCGGCGAGCGGCCGCAGGAGTGGTGGGACGAGGCCCGTGATGTAATCGTCAACACCGAGCTCGGCATGTTTGGGCAGGATATTTTGAGCGTCACGCGCTGGGATAGATCATTAAAGCAGGGACATCCGAGGCCAGACTTCCAGCCTCTAGAGCAGATGGTGAGCGGAATGTACTTGGGTGAGATGGTGAGGTTTGCATTGATTGAGGCCATTAACACGACTGGTGTTTTTGGCGGCGTGGTGCCCAAGTCGCTCGATGAGCCGTATTCCTTGAAATCGGAGACGATATCAGCCGTTGAAGGGTAACGCTTGCCCCCGTTTCGTGTCGTGTAACGTCTGCTAACGTGCGCCACAGAGATACGTCGCCACTATTCACATCATCTATCGAAGTCTTTACTTCGCGTCATCCGTCATCACACACGCCGACGTCATCTGACGTGGCGGCCCTCCGCGACCTGGCGTCTTTCGTGTCGAGGAGGTCGGCGGCAATCATCGCTGCATGCTTGCACGCGGTCTGGGCACTGCGCCTGGAGGCGCTGGATGAGGAAGACGTGGAGTATGCCGGCTCAGAACGGTTAGAGAAGGAGTGTGGTCTGGAGAAGACCACGGTGGCGTACAACGGCAGCGTGATTGAGCTTTATCCGGGGTACCTGGCGATGCTGCAGGAGTACGTGAACGGACTTGTCAACAGGGAGGACAGGAGTATCGATCTCGTCCCGGCAAAGGAGAGTTCCTTGCTGGGCGCGGGTGTCGCTTTGGCGACGTGTGACGGTGCGGCAACGGGGGCTTAAAAAGACATGACCGCGGAAGGGGATGGTGAAGACGTAATCATGGGCACCCTTCACATGAGACGAGGGCAGCCTTAGTAGATCTGGAGTCGCATAATATCATAAAGCGGGAATCATGTTTTTTTCAGTCGCACATCGACCATGCGTCGTCGAAAGCTCGTGTCATTGACCATGGGTATCGTGCCGTGCCCATTCCGAAACGCCCCTATCAGTGATTCGATCGTGAAATACTGTAAAACACACCGTCAAAGCTTTTGCGCCCCGCGCTTACTCGTCGTCATCGTCAATTGCCTCGACCTTGCGCTTTCTCCTTTCTCGTTTGACCTGGCGCGGGGCATCTTCGTCGGCGTCCTCGTCTGGACTGCTGCTGCCCTCCTCCTCTTCGAGCCGCTGCAACTCCTGGGCGCGCTTCATCTTGCGCAGGATCACATTGTCGTCGTAAAAGTCATCCACACCGAATTCCTGTTCATGTCAGTGGTGTATTCTCAGCCTCGCCAGCGCCAGACGTACCTTGGAGCAGCCGGCCACGACACACTGTGCGCGCCTGTTTGGTGCCTTGTTCAACATCTCCGTGATCCACTGCTTCTCGTACGTGTGGTTGCAGACGCGGTTGCTAAAGGGCTCCTTCAACTCCTGCATCGATAACGGACACCTGTAATCTCGAATCTCGCCGGCAATAACCAGGTCCTCGTCCTCGTCGTCGTCGTCCGCTGCGCCCCCTTCGTCCTTAATATTTTGAGCAGCACCGGCCATACGAGGCATCACGGGATTCCCCTCCTCGTCGAACCACCGCTTGGCATTGGGCAGCGTGGGGCCCGAGTCGCCGTGGACGGCGTCGTGCAGCAGCTTCTTGAAGCCGGCGTAGTCGTTGTTGAGGGCGTAGCGCTGGTAGACGTTGAGGTTCTGGTACTCCCGCGCCTTGTCGGCCCGGTGCTGACGCAGGGTGTCGATGACGGATTGCTCCGGCGGCGGCGCCTCATCCTCCTCCATCTGGGTGTCTCCCTCCCCGTCCTCGTCGCCATTCTGCTGCCGTCTCCGCCGGGCCCTCGCCGGCGCGGCAGGGAGAGTCTGGAAGTAGTCCGCCGTCTCCGCCAGCGCCTTCTTGTCGTCCTCGACCTGCGCCTGCCTGTCGAGCAGGTCGCGCAGGGCGGCCTCGACGTCCCTCGTGAGGCTGGGGACCTCGGCGTCCAGAGCGGCGGCGTGCGCCTCCACTTGCTCCTCGCGCTGCGACTTTTCCTGGCTGCTGTCCGACTCGGCGCGCTTCGCGGCGATGCGCCGGAGCTGCTCGTGGCGGTCGCGGGTGGCGTCGTTGACCTCGGCGACGCTCTGGCTGAGGTTCGAGATGGACTGCTTGATGTGGGAGGCGTAGCGGTGGACGTCGCGGCTGTTGGAGAGCTCCGAGATGGCGCGCTTGGCTTGGTCTGTGAGGGGGCACGCGAGGGGCTCGTAGGGCGGGAGGTCGACGTCGTCGTCGTCCACGACCTGTCGTTCGGGGCGGCGCTGGGCCGGCCTGCGGCGTTCGAGGACCGGCATAGTGATAACACCTGGGTCCGGACGGTAGCGATTGAGCGGGGTATGTGAGGTGTAGATGGTGTCGCAGATGGCCGGGGAAGAGTGCCTGCAAAACTGACGTCGAGACAATTTAGATGCTGTCTGGAATTTTTGGCGGATGAAGGAGACGCGACGTGCCGTGGCGCGTTGGTGGGGTCGGAATTGATGCACTTTAAACAGCGGGGATGGCCCTTGCATGGCCCGGGGTATGTTAGGTACGTATCGTTCCTCGCACTTCAACTACACCTCGACGTGAAGAATACAGTTCTGACAGTCTGTTAGCGATGTAAATGGCATCACAATTTCATTTCAGTACAGTATGAAATCAGCGGTCGAGTTATCAGAATCATATTTGCAAACTATGTAAGCCTCGGTGTTGAAATCTGGACTGTAGAGACTGACGACGATGCGAAGCTCTAGTGTAAGTGGGCGATATTGGTCGCGATGTTGATACTATCTTTGGCTTCATCTTTATTTCCGACATTTCTTACCTGAAGATGACCTCAAATTCAGATATCACAGTAATCGAGCTCGATTGCGTGTGAAAGTATTTGAGCAAGGGCAGCCGCTCCTGCCCCAGAAGCAAACGAGTCTGCCGCACCTACTCTCGCTGGCGCGTTGTTTCCCTTATAGCCAACTCACCTTCCAGATTCCGCAACAATGGGTGCGACCACCGTCGCAAGATAGCCTAGTGATGGATTGTGTGCCTGGTTTCGGCAAAGCTCGGTGGTTCGAGTTCTTTAGGTGGCTCTACATACCTCCGGTGGCCGCCCATTGTTTTTTCTTTTGATAAATTGTCAACTTTCTAGTCTCGACCTGTCATTTTCTTAAAAGTCAGTCTGCTTTTATCGAAGTCATACTGATGCATAGGAGCTTGTCACTGTGTTTGAATCTGATGAGAAGCTTGACATGTGCTTCAAAACAGGGTCGATCAAGCGGGCGATGATTGACTTATACTCAGTATTTTGACTAACTAACCAGCTTTAACTCCTTAACGACGTGGAAATCAACTCAGAGTCCAGGCCTATCGCATTCACGGCAGCCCTCAATGTCATGGAAACACGCGCTCTCCGCCTCAACAGCGCGGCCATCAAGTTCATGGGCGGGGATCTGTTCAGCATTTCCAGTCACCTCATCTTCTTTCTCGCCGCTGTCCCGCGACTTCTCGTAGGCATCCTGGCGCTCCAGAAACAGCCCATTCGCCTCGTCCAAAGCTCTCTTCACCTCTTCCAGAGACATCGCCTTGGGCCCGTCGTACCCCTTCTGGTTCTCTTCCTTGGTGGCCCCTGGCGCTCGACCGAGAAGACAGCACTTGACGCCGTCAATCACCAACGCCTCGTCAATGACACGAGGGTCTCCAATGACAGCCGCAACGCGACTGATCTTGCGTCGGAGGTCCTCATTTTCCCTCTCCATTCGTACCATCCGGGCGTCAATGTCGCGGCTCTGCTTCGCCCAGAGCGCGGCCTCGCGCTGCCCCTCCTCGTGCAGGTCCGCCCGGGGAAAGTCTCCGAGCATGAGCGCTGCGAAGGTGTTTGCGTCAATGTCGCAGATCATCACGTCGAGCGCCTTCTGGGCCTTGGCCAGCCTGTGGAGGGCGTCGGTGCGGGCGCGGAGCTTCTCGTGGAGCTCGTAATGCAGGAGCAGGAGCACGGCCTGGAGGCCGGAGTGGTACTTTAGAGGCTCCAGCTTCTCCCTGGTGCGTGAGGTGCGCTCGAGGTGGTCGACTTCTTTGCAAAGTTCGTGGACAATGTTGAGAGCCTTGGCGGTGTTGTGGTTGACCGCCTCGACCATGGTCGGGCTTGAGTCTTTGGTTGGCGACATTCTAGAGCTTTCTGGGTGCAGTAATGTGAACTCGACTGGAGAGACAACCATCACCAGAAGGTATCTTATACAGCAAACCGCAAGGAATTGCTGATGGAGTGACACATGCCTGTGGACTGAACAGCTACTGCCTGCCACTGATTCACCTGCACGTGTCAATATGTTCCTGAACAGTTTAACTGTTAAAATATTTCAGAGTATTCTAATAACTCTTCATCCGCCTTCGAGGGCGTGATTCATTCTATGTACATGGGGCTCTCGTGTCTCCGTAGATTCGTTCATCCTCCGCAACGAGCCCGTCAGGTCCCAATCCTAGCTTCTTCGCATATCATACACTCGTAGATATCTTGCCGTCCCATGTAATAAATAACAAAAACAAATGTTTGGAAAATGCTGAAAATCAAACGCCCAATGCCGGTAAAACTTCATGTCGCATATCCTTTCTTTCACCCTCATTATCTTTCATCCCAAATCATTTTTCTTGTTTTCTTCACTGCCTCATCAGGCATGACGCATGCGCCCAGCATGGAAGAGACCCAAATGGACTCGCCCAATCTTGCGTTGGGGCATGCGTCTATATTGCAGTGAAGTAGCAGCAGCAACACAACGCAGTCGACAACCCCGCCGAGATCAGTCGTCGACAATCTCGTCACTGCTGCTGCTACTCGACCCAGACGTCACGCTCATGCTCTGGCGGGCGACGTGGACTAATCTGTAGATGCCGAACGCGACACCGGCGAGGACGATGAAGAGCACGATGACGATGATCGCGATGACGTCGTTTTGCTTGACCATGGCTGCGGCGGCCGGGGTTCAGGGTCTTCCGTCGAGCCCGAAGCTGACGGAGACACCTGCGGAGGAGGAGAGTTTGATCGGGGTGGTGGAGAACAGACGGAAAGACGGGTCCGATGAAGCGGAGTCGCCGTGGGCCGTGGAATGCGTGATGTGTCTGTGTGTCTCGGGAGACGTTCTGAGTTCAGAACGTTGGCCGTTGAGAAAAGTCGTTTTTGGGCCAAAACTCTGCAGTTTAAAATTAGTCAATTGTCTCGAGGGGAAAAAAATTCCTGAAGGAGGTCGTACCCAATGGTTGATGGCCTGCAGCTGTCTAGCTAGCTCCCCGCGGTGTACAAGATACTTTTGCGGCTTCCGTAGTATGGGCCCCGATGGTGGACGGCGTGGGGTGCGGGTTGACCGAAGAACAACGACAGTTGTCTATCTCAATGGGCCGGGCAAAAAAACTTATGTTCAAGTCCTGGGTTTTGCAAGATCGTGCAGCATACCAAAAGGAAGAGAGAAAGCAAATCCAGGAAAACCCGTGTGGAATGCAGTCGGGCAGCGCAGCGTTAAAAGGCAGCGTTGCCCCGCCACCAGGTTTCCCAGAGAAGTCAATAAAATGGGAGAGGCTGGAAAACCCGCGACCACGCAACGCCAGCACCACACACACCACGACCCCAACCGCCCGCGAAACAGGGGTCTAAAGCTGCTTTTAGTGGGCCGCCCGGGCAGGGATTTCAACGCACCCAACCTCGCGGGTGCCGCATCCTGCAGATTTTCCCCCGTCGTCCCGGGCTGGGCACTTGTACACTCACCGCAATCCTTTGGTGGCGGTCTACCTTTGCGGTCTGGTTCCTGTCCTGGTTCCTGCGTCTAACGGCGACATCCGCTTTGGACAGCCAGCCCTGTATCCTCTCTTCCCCTTCATGAACTTGAGACCGATTCGCGGCTGACGTGGGGCCATTGGCGGCGGCGCATTGGGTGAGTCCTGGAAGTCAAGACTTGTCTTGTCTACGAACTAGTGCGCCTCGTTCCTGGTTTGGCCTGGAAAGACCTTGAGCTAGCTCGTGTAGACGTGACGATGGAGGCTACACCACATTCAGACATCACGCCAACAAGGCCAACCGGGTCAAGGTGAAGCATCAAATTTTCCCTGGCACTACACCCCTATCGCACATCGTCTCGCGCTGCCCCGCTTCAAGACCCAGGGCACCCGTCTCCCGCAAACCGCAGTTCCTATTTACAGGTTGGGTCTGACGCGGATTCCTTTGAAGAACCCATGCGCAAGACTGATCGAAAAGGGCAATTCCGAATTCCATGAAAGCCTCCTGATAAGGATGCCATCAGCCCGAACGCCGTTCCCACGTAAAACAACCCAACATGTCGTCCTTTTATTGATTCACATCTCAGCCTCTGGCGCAGTCTTCTCGGGGAAATGGTTATCAGCGTCCGCCTCGGGTTCTGACTTGACGATTCGGATGTGTTTCTCATAGAAGCGGAGCATCTGTGACACGATTAATGTTTGCCCTCTTGAATAAACAATAGGAGAACTCACCTTCTGCGGGCATCGCTTGTACACCACCTCGGTGGGGTGCTTCGTCTTTTGGCCGTTCTTCCAGTTCAAGTAGATGACCAGCGCCCCCGAAACCTCATCCTGGCATGCATCGATGCTCTCAACATCCTCTTCCCAGCTGCCGCTGGGCAAAGTCCACGGCTTGGCCTTCGCGGCGGCGACTGCGGAAGCGGGAGGGGTCGAGTCGGCCGGGTGGCCGTTGCGTCTAGACTTCTTGGTGGTCATTGGTGGCGTGGATGAAGCAGCAGGGCGGCCGCGCTTCTTGGTAGTCTTGGCTTTGGTCTTCTGCTCGAACAGTGCCTCGCGGCCACCAATCGCTCTAAGGTACTCTTCCAGAATCTCAGCTGCGCCCTCCCTGTAAGTATGTTAGTACCAGAACAACAAGCATCGACCGCAGCATGCGCTCGGCACGTAACGTACTTCAGCGAGTCCTCTGGCTCCCAGGTCTGATCCGCCTTCTTCTCGTAGCCCTCCCACTTCACTCTGAAGTTGACCAGTCCCTAAACACAAGTCAGCTTGGGGGCGCCATGAAGCGGACGGAGGAGCACGCACATCGTCGCCGACCTGGTGGTCAAGAATCTTCTCAACGACATATCTATGGCATCATTAGCGCCAGCATTCCCCGGTATTATCTGTCGCGCGACACGCACTCGTCGGCCTCGAGGTCATCATCGTCCTCGTCCTCGTCTTCGTCATCGTCTCCGTTGGCGGCGGCAGCACTGCCATTCAGATCGCCGGTAACCTTGGGGATGTCAAGGTCGCTCTTAGTGTCACTAAGGTCATCCGCAATGTCGACCGATCGGCTCTTTCCGCGGGTCTCCTTGACGGGGACGATGATGTCGCCGCCAATGTCGGACTGCTCGTCGTCGCTGATGGCTGCGGCGCGGGTCAGTGCCTTATCCTTTCTGCCTCGGGACTTTCTGCGCGTCATCTTGAGCGATGGGGGGTAATTGGGACAATGGTCGCGTCGGGCGGGTGGCTGTCGCAAAGCAGACGCGCCTTGGTGATGATGCGCGAATGGTGGTGTGGGGAGGATGGGAGCTTACCAGGAGGCATTGCGTCGGTTTTTCATCAGGCAGAAATTTCTGGCATATTCAGAGAGTACGTGAACGGAAGTTGCGCACTCAGGCAGGAAGCATCGACATGCGCAACAATGGGAAGGTGCGATTGAGTAGCTGTCCTAGCTTTGCCTCATGCTCGGGAGAAGGTGAGGCTTGTGCCGCGTCGTACCACTGCCACATGTGGCGTGCTGCATGTCATGTGATATACGCTCCAGCCACAAGCCGGGTCGGCGCATGCTTTCCTGACTTCAATCCCGATGCTTTCCTTCCACACGGGACCCGGTCCTTTTGAAAAGAGCTTGTGTGGATCCTCCGAACCGGTGGACCAAGCTCCAAGATCTGTCCCGAGAAGCTTCACCAGGATGGGAAGTTGATCTGGTGTGATGGAAGAGGTGCGTCCGGGCTTTACTCTGCCACTCCGATATCGTGAATTTGGTGCCTTGGAATCAATCTCAACCCATAAGGCAGCTCTAGGTGCGATTCGCACACCTAGAGAATCATATCTCAGCTCCATCGACCTTGGCCTTTCAGAGGTCCACGATTTCATCGAGACCTAGCATGAGCATTGTTTGTTCGCCGCAATGTTTGTCAGCTCGGCGATATTATTGCACATCATGTCTCCTTTGGTACCGCTGTCCAATCGGTTTGGAACTCTGATCAGAGGTTATCGTAGCAGTCGCTTGCATGTGAGGGACATTCCGCCGACTACGAGGAAGATGCGCTGGTCATGGGGTGCACACGTCCTCCTTGAGGTTGAGGGAAATCAATGGACGCAACGAAAATCATTGACAGAAGCAGACAGCTTAATCATCCGGTTAGGATGTTTCCGTAGCGCCGACAAGACTGAGCTGTGCCGCTCCAACCAACAGACGACAGAGCGCGCCTGCAGCAGTTGCAGAAGCGTAATGAGGTTTTCATCAAATCTCTGCAACGCAAAAGGGGCAGCGCTTTGCTGGAAGACAACCACAACCAACAAGAGTTACAAGACTTACTCCCAACAGCGGTCGACTCAGGGAAAGGCAAAGCGCATGGAGATGGATCGCGATTTAGCAGCTGGCTGGCAAGTGCCAACCCTGTCCCGCAGCAAGGTTCTTTGCAGGAGACCAAACTTTTGCGGTTTTTGTCGTCTCCCTCGCGTCAACGCATGCTCTCTGGGAAGCTTGTGGCACCTAAAAGTCGGAGGACGGCCCATCTTGCGACTGTTGCTTTGGGTCAGGTTCACACATGCCATCCTATGGGTATCAGCTTTTGTCCTTGGCTGCCACAGGAAAGGAGAGGCTGTTGCGGGAAATTATCGGTGTGCTGCAGGTTGGTTGGCAAACGACCTCTTGGACGGTCCAGACAAGGTGCACCCAAGATGCTGCGGCTACGGCAGGTTGCACTAGACGGCAACGACCAGCCTCCAGGCCAGGGCCAGGACCGGGAGCCATGAAGCGGGCGACAGGAAGCCACAGGAAGCCACAGGAAACCGAAGCGCGCCGCTAGTAGTGGCCCTGTAGTCGCGAAATGATATTTTTCGCTTTGCTGCGTCGCGTCCTGCAGATGCCAACCCCATTATTCGATGCAGGAAAACGGGGGCCCTGAGCGCCGGATGGTATCCCCGGACTAAAACACAGAGAAACAAAAGGTCGGGGAGGGAAAAACAAGTCGTCGGACACACGAGGGGTTTCTACTTGGAATCTCAAAGTCTCTCGCCGAAACCGACCAGCGCTGTCCGCAACCCGTCTACTGGTGCTCCCTGATATCTCAATGAGCGAAACCAAAGGGGCGCAATGTCCTTGAGACGAAAGCTGTCAGGTCTGTTGGCGCCGCTGGTCCTTCACCGGCTCCCCTGGATGATCTCCCGGAATGCCCCTGAAAAAATGGATCGGACACAAGCCGGTGGGACCCAGGAGCCTAAAGAAACGAGCCGGAAATGCCAACGCGCGCCCCGGTCGGCCAGTCTAGCCAGGATTTATTTCATCCAAGATGGCCAGTTGGAAGATGTTCAGAAGAGCGCTGCGGTTGGGTGCCATTCGCGTCTTTGATGTTGGACTGGACAGGGTGCGGCTGTTGAGCTACCTAGGCACGGTATCATCCACCTCTGCGAGCGGCGACGGCTGTCAGTGCCGTCGCGCACCAAGTATCCGTCCATCTGCAGCGCAATATGCGGCCGGTCCCGATTTGTAGACCTTTTCAGGTCGCTCCGAGTCAGAGTCTTCAGCAGCCCAACTCGATTCGGGGTCAATAGGGCAGCTTGGCAGGGCAGGGCAGGGTTGATATGTGTCTTTCTGGTAGGGATATCTCCTACGGAACCCGTGGGAGTCCTTGGACACCTGCTGGAGTAGGCAAGAGACAACAGTCGTCGGGCAGGGTGCTGGAATCAAAAGTTCCGCCGTGTACCCCCAAGACCGCTAGGCCAGTAAAAGTGATGCATAGGGCGGTGCCGGGCTGTCCCTCTCGTTTCCGCGGGCCAGATCAGCACTAAACGAACGACGTGCACATGTGAGAGGGCATGCGGCTGGAATGGAAGAGCGAGGAAGCGAGCGAGATGCTGCGCGGGAAGCCCGTGTGTCTGAACCATGAAGGGTGCAGGTTGGTATGTGAAATACCTCAGGGACTCTCGGTGGGAGGGTGGCCGCGGACAGGCAGTCAACGTGCTTTGGAGACATGTGCGTGTCGATTGGTTCTTGGACATTTGCTGCTGAAGAGTTGGTGGGCACGGTAGGCCAAAGGCGAGGCGTCATTGGGGCCCGAGACGCGATGATGATGCTGAGATCAATCCAGGAGAGGAATCCGTCTCGGTTGATCTGAGTGCGCGCCTTGGGGATAGAAATAGAAACAGGAGAAAAGAGAGTTGTTGGTCGAGGTGGCCTTGGGGCGCCGTTGGTCGAGATGACGGGCGGGAGAGATGAAATAAGAGGTACGTACCGTGCTTGCTATTTGCTTGGAGAGATGAACCCTACCTTAGGTGCTCAGGTAGGTAAGGTAGGAGGTAGCTCCTTGCCGTGCTAGGTAGCGACGGGAGGTACCTTTTCACGGAAGGTGGTGGCAGATGTGATGTGCTGAGGTAGGTCGTCTCCATCGCTGAGCCGGGCTGCTGCACCTGCACCTGCTCTTGCATATATCCGTGGCGTACATCCATTGCATGAGATGCCTACTGGTGCAATTGCATTGGATTGGAATCAAGCCCCACGAACACTGGGCCAATGTCAATGGATAGATGTTCATCGATAGGTGCCTGCTGCATACGGGTACACTGACGGATGCTCAGCGGCATCAGGGCGTGGTGGGACCACCGTACGGCCCTGAAGGGGGCTTGATCTGGGCCGTCCTTGGCTCCGTCTGTGCTGCCACTGGCGCCAATCTGGGGGAACTGGATGGGGGGGAGCTCGACTTTTTTCTGGCGCGGGTCGGTGGTGCTACCCCTGCCGTCCTGCCTTATTAAAAAAACTGCAATAATTAAATCCCGGGTGACATTTTTGCACTTCCCCTTACTCTGTACTTTACTTTACTTTCCACCTCCTCCCCGACTGCCCTCCTCCACCCCCCCTACCTCTTTCCACTCGATAGAGGTCTCGAGAGACTGCGAGCGTCCACGGGTGAAATAGAGACTGCAAAAGGCGAGAGTCTTCCTTAATTCTTGTCACACGACTTTCCCGGAACGGAAGAATCCCTCTCTCTCGCAAGAGCCTCGCCTCGCCACGCCCCGACTGCCCCCCCGATCCGAACCGCCTCCTCCCCGTGTCCCCCGACTACCTGCCGGTCATCACCAGGATTAGCTGTGTTCTGTTCGCTCCGGCTTTTGGCAAGCATCTGCTGCTTCTCGACATCTCCCACCGACCTCCTTCTCTTACCACACTCGTTTAGCTCTTCAGCACATCATCTTTCTGTCCCTCATTCGTTCTTCTCCTTGTGTCGCATCCACTCCGTCCTTTCCACGCCCTTTTCCTTTCCTTGCCGTAACTATCACCATACAACTTTTTAAATCTTGCTTGCTCTTGTTTTTGGAATCTTTTCCGCATACAACTACACACAACCACAACTACATACATACCCTACCGTATGACCATCGACCGCATAGCTCCCCCGGAGCAGCTGCAAAAGCCCTTTCGCGCGAACGGCCTGTAGCCACGCTCAGAGCTCACCCTCACTCCGATCCACTCATCACCTTACCCACCACTTCTTTTAGGAACACGCAAGTCGAGCGACAATGGCCGAAACCGCGAGCAACGCCGACTCGAACCAACAGAAACTGGGCGCCCCCAAGGACAAGAACTGTCAATATTGTGGCCAGGCGTTCACCTCTTCCTCTCTCGGCCGACATCTCGATCTCTACATCAAGGAGAAGAACCCCAAGCCCCCCGATGGAATCCACGATGTCGAAGCGATCAGGCGCGTGAGAGGAGGTATCACACGGAGACAGCCCAGGGGTTCCACAGGCGGTAGGAACGTCTCAACCCCGGCTGGCACACCGAGACCTGCGCCGGCCAAGCGCGATGCCACCATAGACTCCGAGCCGCAGAAGTCTCCCGCCCTTCCAAAGGACGGTCAATATGCTGTTGACTCCACGCTGAGCAAATACCCCTGGACCCCTTCATGGGAGGCCACTGGCGTGATCAACAACATTCCCCCCAACGGCGAAACCGCCAACTCCACGGACGGGGAGGGCAGCCAGAATGCCGGAAAGAGACAGAGACAAGTGAGCAAGCAGGTCATGCAAAAGGCAAATTTCGATCAGAAGCACAAGCTCGCCGACGCCATGGACAATGCGCGCGCGGCGGAGCTCGCTTTCAGAGAGCTCTACAGCTCACTGAGAGCTGCAAAGTACGTTACAGGTGATCTGAGAAGACAGGCTTGTATGCTAACAAGTGACAGGCAACACATCGACAACAACTCCATGCCTTTTGACTTTGATCCGCTTGCCCTGGACTTTCCTGCATTAACACTGCAGTGTCTCGCCTCTCCGCCCACCCTTTTTTCCTCAACCCAGCATCCCACATCTACTTCCTGGTCTGTGCAGTCGCCAGGCCAAAGAGAGTATGATGCACTGCGGGCTTTCTTCCAGGAAGAGTTCAGCAACTGGAAGATCAAGTGCGCGACTGCTACCACGGCAGCAGTGGAGGAGCTGACGTACCCTCCCCGAGATGGACCCTACCGGGACGCTCGTGAGGCTGTTAAGAAGGCCGAAAAGTCTGCCGAGAACCTCGAGAAGCAGGTCACCGAACACTTGCAGTCGGCATTCACTGTCTGGAACTCTCTGCCCGTCCAGAGGCGCAACGAGCTATGGCTTTTGGAAATGGCGAGGAGTGTGGGCAGGAAGCAGACGGAGATCAGCAAGATGAAAGATGCGCAACACAAGTTGGAGCAGGAAAACGCTCACTTGAAGTCTCAGATCGACCAGCTAAATCGCCTACAACAACCACGGGAGTTCAAGCTTTTCGCCCCTACCATGATACCCTTTGACCGTCACCACATGGCTCACGTGTTGGAGAATGGTGTTAGCGGCATCGGCCGCAGTGTCGGTTTGCGCCTGGAGGACAGGCATTCGGACATTAACGAAGTTGTTGAAAAGAGTATTGGACGATGGAAGACTGTCATCGCATCATCTCGTGTCGCCAGTAACGGTATGAATGCGCAGAGATCTTTGGACCAGGCGAACAGCAACACACCCACCCCGACCCCGACTCCCCAACAGCAACAGCAACAACTCCAGCAAAACCAGCAGCAGTCACAGCAACAGGTGCAGCCGCAACCTCCTCAGCAGCAGCAACAGCAACAGCAGCAGCAGCAACAACAGGTTCAGCAACAGGTGCAACAGCAGATGCAGCAACAGGTCCAGCAGCAGCCTATTGCTGTACAGCGGCAATCGACAACAAGCACGAACGGTCTTAGTGACCAAGGTGCATCGATCAGCGGTCCGCCTTCGATCGACGAGAACAGCGATCAGGATGCTGATGCCGATGCCGATGCCGACGCAGAGATGGAGGATGATGACAGTTTCGCAGTCATGAACACGCCAACCACAAAACCCATGCAGCCGGTGCAACGACAAGCCACTCTCGATGTTCCTCGGACGAGACCGGTGCAGAGAGGTGCGAGTGACGCGCGGTTCGTGCAGCAGAACGGAAATCCGAATGCGAATCGGGGCGCAATCAACATGAGTCGGTCAATGCCCAATATGCAGGCCACGATGCAGGCCATGCACGGCGGCGACATGGGAATGGTAATGTCCCAGGTACGGGGGGATCCGATGTATATGGATTGAATAGATGCTGGATACGGCATCTTCCCAATGTAAATGGATTGAGAACGCTCAAAAAGTTGGACCGGAGGACAAAAAGGCTGCGGCATTTCCTTTTTCTTTCTGCGCCGCAGCTTGCATTCAGGGCGACAGCCCGCTGTATAAGCTTACTTTACGGATTAGCATCTCTGAGGCATCCCGGATGGAGCCCAGGGTCACTTTTTGGCTATTAGGTGTTCTAGTACAAATCGCCTGTTGGGCAATACAGGAATCATTCTATCACCACATTGGATGCCACTAGCCACCTGCCGCCGCTGCTTCTTGTGCTTGCCGACAACCAGCCACACCAGAGGCAGCCCATGGACCGATCTATTTGGGCTGGATCTCAGCGGTGCCTGCCCGACCTACCCACCGGTTTGATTGCGGGCTGATGAAGATGATTTCCGGTATCTCATTCCGGATCCTGTCAAATTGCTTAGTGTTACCATTGTGCCGGCACGCTACGGTAAGGGTGGGGGCCTCACTCTCCACTGTGGGATTGCCACGGCCCGGGGGTTCGTCACAAGTTGAGAGAGGCCCGAAGCATAAAGCAACTTCGTTTAACTCGTTAAGAAAGATGCGCCGAAATGGGCCAATGAAAGTGAGTTATGCCGCAAATTTGAATATCAAATTGTGAATCGTTGGTAAGTTGTGAAGCACACATGTTTATGGAAATGAATATGCCCCACAGATGTGTTGAATCTGGTCCCTTACACATAGCCAGGGTTCCGACAACCTTGGTTATAGACTTCAATAGCTGGCTGATGCTACTCTGCATTAATGGGTCTTGTACTTATCGTTCAAATAGCGTCATATTCACGGATAACTCATCTCAAGCCCCAATGTCTCGTCTCGGTAGTCCGCCCCTCGTCCTTCTCACGATCTTCTTCGCCCCCATCGCCTCTCTCATCCCAACTCCCCCGCTTCTCATGTAAGCCCTGGAAAGATGCACTTTCCCTGGAAACCAATAATACAACGTTACCGGTAAAATTCCCCCGGTTCCGGGTGGAGAGGTTGTATTCTTAGCTCCTGGAAAACGGTCCCGGGTCTTCGGGAAACGGCCACGCGGGAAACGAGACTCTCATCTCGACTACCGGTGGCGAACTCGGGTTGTTTCTACGGACACTCTTCATTCCCCAAAAGCCGGGACGGTGGAGCAAACCAAACGGGGACCTTCCACTGTCTCAGTCACCATGCCGAGATGGGAAACTCTCGCTTTCTGTGTCCTCCCCCCGGTTATTGGTAATCTCACGACTACCCGCCGCGGTGGCTCTCCAAATGCGGATGTTCGACCGAAAGTGGTAGGGCCAACAGAGAGAGACAGAGAGAGTCTTTGGTGGGCGGGCCTTTCCTAATAATAGCCCCCTGATCTCTTGGAAGCTTCTTCGGTCCTTCTTCCCCCTCCCCCTCCCGCTGCTCCTCCTCTCCGCGCCTTGACCTCCCGGACGACGATCTCGTGTTCTGTGATGGCGACGGAGTGGACTCGTGCCAGCCTCTCCTGGAGGGACAGGAGCTCGGGGCGGGGAGGCGTCGTGGTGGTGGACTGCCGGCGGGCGATGGCGTCCTGGAGACCGGCCACCACGTCCTGGAACTGCTGGGCTATGTCGTGGAGGCGAGATGTTGCGACGGAGAGCTGGTGAGGGGTGCAGGATGCGTAAGGGGTCGTAAGGTTATGCTCATCATCTTTGCCATCGTCGTCGTTACCGTCATATCCATGGCGTTGAGGGGGATGGTCGCCGCCGGTGGGAGATTGTGATGATGGTGCCGAGGTGATTGGGGACGGGGGAGGGAGATGAAGGGTGCTGATGATGTCGACGGCGGTGCTGCTTTCGCGGCGCTTGCTGAGGCGCTTCTGTTCTTCGTCTTGGATTGTGTAAAGGTGGGTGAGCATGGTTTCCGGAGTGAGGCGTTTGGGAGATGGGAGCTCGGTGAGACGGTCGGCTCGGGGAGATTGAAGATCTCGTGGGAGGTGGTGCGGGTTTCTGGATAAGGAGGACTGTCCGGTACTTGCTGAGCTTGAGCGCAGTGGACGAGGTGTTGTGGTCAGAGCATATTGGGCATGACTTCCTTCCTTTCCGGCACCGTCGTTCTCGAGGACTGGGTCTAGCATGGTGACGAAGTTGAAGATGTGTGCTGCGATTCGCTTGGGGTTGAGCCGTCTATTGTGCCTCGTAGCTCATACCACAGCGTGTCTGGTTCTTGCGTTGGGCTAACCGACGTCTTTATCTTTACTCTTCGTTTGCCACGGGATGTTAGAAACTCGTGGAGAGGGCAAACCAAACGGAGAGCACGCAGGAAACCCCTTTTCGCGGTCACCCAGCCGTTTTGCTGTATGTGTGATATATCACAAGAGCCGCGGCACGCCCGCTGATTGTCTCCTCATGATACGTCGCAAACTTGTCCGGCGGGCTATGTGTTGTGCGGATAGCAGCAGCCGTTCTGTTTGCAGTTGGCCAGGTCATCCAGTGAGATCACTCGTCACCGTTTGCTCTCCCAGCCAGAGCCATGGATCTGGTAAGATGGTTCGCGGGACAAGCTTCGCAATCTCAGTTGTCCCTTTTGGTCGTTTCTTTCCTTTTCTGCTGTCGTCTCTCTCTTCGTTATCAGTTAACTGACACATTACTTTGGCGCTCATGTGAGTTTAGATGAGAATGAGAAGTATCATATCGAGAAAATAACTATCACGGGGAACAATTATGCAGCTAGACAAGGTATGAGATGAGCATCATCGACAATAGTGACTATGGCAATTAAGGAAGACATCGCCTGATTTTCTCCTGTCTTCGTGGCTAGATCTCTTGTGTACTTCGTCGGGTTGAAGTTTTACTTCGATTAAGGACCACAGTAAAGCATCGAAATTCCGAGACGGAAACGTCGACGGCAGCGGGTACACGGGAAGAATAATCGCTCCAGTAAAAGAAAAGTAGGAGGTAAGCTCAGAAATATTGAAGAAGAGTATGTGTCAAACTTGTACTTCGAGCAAACAGCCAGCTACGACTTACCGAAAGAATGCGGGTATGCTATGAACAGCCTGCGCCAACCAAAAGATAGCAACGAATCTCAACGAAGCTCAGCTGGAGTGTGCAGCTGACAGCATGCAGCCATAGACACCTTTCGAAGTTGAGACAGGTGACACCGGATCTTGTTCCTGGCATCGTCGGGGGATGAAGGCACTGTCGATGAAAGTAGCCACCTCGAAATCCACACTCATCGGCACCTTCTGGCGTCCGCTACCGTTCTTCATGAGTGAAGAAACAGGTGAGAAACATGAAGCCGAGGTTGAGCTGCAGCATGCCATGTACAGACAGATGACTGTGCGTTGGTAAGTTTTGGTGACAGTTTCTTTGTCAAATCATCACATATCAGGGTCCATCAGCCGTCCGATGTGTGAGGGCACAGGCCATTGGAAGACGAAGTCATGCGGCCTGACAAGACAAAAAGCGCGAACTGAAGATTTGGTCCGAGCATCGTGGTCGTCCGGCAGCGGCAGGATCCCTGTCACACGGAAGATGACGTCTCATGGTCGGAGGCAGAGGCGGCCCGACAAGCGTCAAGCTCAACGTCAGAAGTGTCCGGAGGCTCGGCAGCAGGGCGGGCGAGGGAAGCCTAGGGACAGTGGCCTTCCGGCAGTTGAAGCGACCGGAGTGTGGAGGGGGCGCCTTTTCTCATCCATGGACAGGGCAGCTTGAAACAAGGACGAGTAGGAGGCATGACGACGAGCGCCCGAGCTCTCTGACGGCAACCTTGCTCCGATGATGCGTCTGATAACGGTCCAGTGCATAGATTGCAAGAGCCAGCATAAATAAGGATGATTTGTCGCCGTCGAAGTTGCTTTTGATTCGGCTGAGACACGGTGAAGTGGGATTATCCGCACGAGACTTGCGGCGATAAGACGACGCTTCCTACAGGCGTGCTGGAAGACGCACCAAGAACGGGATTCAAGATAGACTACAGGCGAACGAGCCATGCGATTGCGAGAGGGAACCTTAAGAAGCCAATTGGTGGCGGTACGGACGCTCTCATACGCGGAACCTAGGCACATTCCGCTGTGGCATCCCATCCTCCCCTCCTCCCTGAGCACCCGACTGGGTGGCCCAGGGGGAGCAGAGGCCGCTGCAAGTTCCCGTCAGGTAGCAGATATACAGGCATTGGGCAGGTACGCCAAAGTATCGTGGAGTTCAATGCGGAACCGACGTGTTTGGCGGTACGCGACCTTGACGAGTTGCACTGGTCGTATGCAGCAGAAGAAACATCTCGAGAATGGCAGAAATTCAATTTAAAAACGTCCATGAACATGCCAAAGACTAGACCAGCCACATATTAACGACCACCAGCCTTGAGTAATGAAGTGGCGGCGCTACGAAGGGGAACTGCTTAGTCCTACGCTACCTCGAGCCCCCAGACTGCAGCAGAAAAGATACTTGCGACATTCCCCCCCAAACTCGCAGCGGATCCCAACCTAGGTAGGCTCTACGTTACCTTAACGGGTAGGCTGGCAGCAAGCTACCCCCAAGAACACACAGCACAGCACACAGTACGGGCACAGCACTCGCCTTCTGCCTTGCATCACCACGACCTTGAGATCCCACTTCAATTTCGACCTCGACTTCGCCTCGCCCTCCCCAACCAAACCGCCATCACCCTCCCTTCGAAGCGCCCCATCGACCGCCGCATCGCCGTCCAACGTCGAAATAAACATGCGCATGCTGCCTCCCTCTGCCCGCCGAACCCCCTCATGAGTGCTCCCTCCCGCTGCGACCGACGGCCCACACGGAGCAGCGAGCAGCCATGGACAACAGGGCGCAGCGATTCGAGGACGAGAAGCGTCGTATCATCGACAGCTGCTTCAACAAGAAGGACGTAGACGGATCGCGTAGGTTCTGCCCATTCCATTCCCTCTCCCTCGAATCGAATCCTTGTCCAGATGCTCACCCCGCTGCTTGCCTGCCCGACAGTGCTCGAGACATACATCACCCACATCCGAATCGTCGAGTACTCCTCCCATCCGACATCACCGCCGCCCCCCGAAGCACGAACACCCCAGTCTGAGAAGCCCCGAATCATTGTCGTCGCTGTAAGAAAGTCTGGCCGTGTGCGCCTTCACAAAACCAAAGAAAATGCCAATGGCTCCTTCTCCATTGGAAAGACATGGAACCTCGACGACCTGTCCGCCATTGAATCCTTCACCGGCCCCCCTGCCAACCCAACACTTCGTGAATATGCCGGGGACACGGGCTTCGTCGTCACCATTGGCAAACCCTATTTCTGGGATGCTCAGTCAGACAAGGAAAAGAAGTTCTTCATCGCCAGCTTGGTCAAGATCTATGGCAAGTACACAGGGGGAAAGGTCCCCGAGCTGTCGGGCTTCGACCAGGCCGAAATGGGACAGATCTTGAGAAACGAACGACGACCCCCGCCCGGCGCCCAGCCTCCGTTCAGACCCCCGGCGATGTCTCCAGATGCTGCTGCTAGTCAGAGCAGTCTCAGTGCTACAAATGTGCCTTCAAACTACGGGACTCCCTCGCCGGGACCGCCAGGCCCGCGACGGCCGCCACCTCTCAATGGTCCACCCCTCAACGGGACCAACTCACCTGTCGGCAGCATGAGCTCGTCTCTAGGCCAGCCAGAGCCCCCGACACTGAGACGTTTCGGCAACAAGAGTCAAGAATCATTCGCTCAGTCGCTAGGAGGACGAAGTGACGATGCAGGAAGCGTGCCGCCCCGCTCGAGGAACGGCATGCCCGTCCCCGGTGCCTTTCCCAGATTCAACGACAATACGCCCGAGCCGATTCCTACACCCCCGCCCCAGCGCCCAGAAAGCCGAGGCAACCAGAGCCGCGAGCCTCCCCCCGAACGCAAGAGACCTCCCATGGATCCGGCGCGGCCACAAGGCTTCTCCGACCGGGACCTGGTGCCTGCGCCCTTAGTGAGCCCAGGAATGCGACGAGATCAGGTGGCACCTCCACCCAGGAGTACAGCCAGGAAAAATTCCCTGTCGCAACGCTCCGACGGCGGTTCGTACAAAGACAGGCCGGTCACTCCTCTGACCCCCGGAGACGCAGGAATGCCGGATGCGCCGCCGGCGCTCAGAACTCCCACGCGGAATGGAATGACCCCGACCAGACAGCCTCCCCCGATGGTATCGCCGCCGCCTGAAATTCCCGTTCCTCCCGCACCTGTCTCCCCGATTGCACCAACACCGCCTCCCGCAGCCCCCGCTCCGCTACCCGAGCCGGAGCCGTTGATCGAGGAGCCCCCGGTTCCGCCAGCTGAGCCTCAGCCAACACCCCCTGTTCCGCCTGAGCCTGAGGAAGAGACGAGGCCCGGCCTTGGCCCGATGATCAAGGCGAAGAAATCAAAGGGCGACCTTGCTGGTGTACTTTGGAAAGCCGCTTCTGCCGCCGCTGCGTTCAAGCCAAGAGCCGGTGGCGCGGGCGAGAGACTACGCTTGGCAGCAAACAAGAGCGCTGAGCCAGCGGAAGGAATTACAACCGTCTTTCGGCCTCCGCCTCGACCTGTCTCTTCTGATGGACCCAAGGAGGCAACGCCGGACGCCACCCCGGACGCCGCCCCCGCTGCTCCAGCAGAGCCCGCCAAGCGGACGTCGGGCGTGCCGGAAGTCAAGGTTACAGTACCCAATTCTAGTCGCCCGACTAGCTTGCAACCTTCAGTCAAGGAGGTCAAAAAGCCCGAGGAACCTGCATCAAAGGAAGAGGCCCGCAAGTCCTTGGTGATCGGCAATGATGCCAAATACCTGGCATCTCTCGGTGTTGATCCGTCGGTCCTCGACAATAGGAGCACCGAGTTTACAAAATGGCTCGACTACTTTGGCTGGGTGCCTGGTGATAAGATGAGAACTCGTAATGTTGATGAAATGAAGATGGATCTAGA